CCCTTCACATTGCAAGATTCAGGCTTGTCCTGGGAGGACTGATCCACTGTTGTCTTGCCAGCCTTCAGTCATGGTGAGTCCTCATTGCTGACACTTGTCTTCTTCCTCAGCCGTAGGAGTAACTTGCACTGAAATTTAATTGCAGGCTGCTGCAGTGAACAAACATGCTTTGACTTTTATTTAGCTATTTCTTCTGTTTTCAATAAATTCCACAATATCATTGAAATAACTGTGTGCTGGAACAACAATCTGTGCTTCTGTACAAATAAAAAAATGTGTTTTAACTTACCCGTGTGCTCAGTATTGCAAGAGCTTCACAGGAGAGGCACTGAGAAATCATGGAGCCCTCATGTACCTTCTGTGAAATGCATTTGTGTACTCTTGACTGTGATTCATAGAGCATTAATGACATGGCAAATACGGACATTGATCTCTGACATGGTAGCCCTTTAACTCAGAGGCTATGGGGTGTTAATTTGTCTTTCATTTATGATCCTTAGCTAGTGTTTTCCTATGCCAGTTCCATATCACTGTTTTTTCCAAGATGAGTTCCTGAAGCACTGTTATCAAATACTTACCAGCATTAAGAATAGTGTAATACTAGACCATGTGCACATAATATTATCAAAGAAAGGGCCTAGATTGTTTGCTCTTGTCTTAAACAGTGTCTTATAAAAGCCCAAAGAATAGTAGTGGATCATCTTCCTATGCTGTATTTAGCCATTCTGTTCACCATTGGAAATCTTCAAAAGTAGGCAAAACAGGAAAAGAACAAAAGCATAGTTGATCCAGATGGAGCAATGGGAATGGACTAGAAGGCCTCTCAAAGGCCCTTCCAGGACTGTGGTTTTATGATTTACATTGGACAGGTGAACAACCAGGAGAATTTTTGTGGAGACATTTGTGTTCTAGATCCCTGTGCACAGATACTTACTGTCCCAGGATTCTCAGCTGGGAACTTCTGTTGGGTTTGGGTACTGATGTCAACCCAGCTCTTTCCTGGAAATGCCAACTCCCTAAGTCAATGACCAAAATACTCTGCTGAGAAGCCTGTTTTTAAATAATGTGACTCCCCAGTACAAAGTACAAAGTTCACAGTTTCACCTGCCGAAGTAATTCTATTGTGCATAAGCCATCTACTACTTACTAGAAAACAGACTTGACACCATAACTTCTACTTTCTAGATGTATTCTAACTACTGGACTGTATTGTCAAGGCCTTGCTCTCCTTTCCTCTTCCCAGCTTCATTAGTATATGTACAAAGAAGGCAACATTTTCTAGCTAGGAACTATCACTGGGCTGGGGAAGGTCAAGCAGCTCATGGTCCAGGAGTCATGGGAGAGATGGTGGGTAGAAAAGTTCCAGATGCCCATATGAATAGTGGGAAGAGAGGACATCAGGTCCTTCACAAAGAGCAGGCTCAGAACACTGGCATGAAAGCGGAGATAATATCCCTCAATCCAAAGGGATGAAGTGGAGGCCTTTTTCTTTAAGGACTTCCTAAGACATGGGTTTCCACATATCCTACTTCCATTTGCCCATTGTTCTTCAATCCATTTGAGCCGTCTTCTCCAGAACTGTTTGTAACAGTGAAGGAATCTCAATCAACTGGCCATTTAGAACCAGCTATAAAGGTACAGCAAGGAAACATTATTTATTAGAACTCCTTACATCATAGCAGACATAAACCATGTGCTCCCCTCCTTCTCTTCTTCTCTGAGATACTTTTCCCTGTGGTCTGCAGTCTAAACTACAAGCTGCAGCAGAGATCACTCTGATCTCTTTCAGGCTCCTACTTCTGTGCATCCTGCCCAGAGGTTTTCTCTAACCAATCCTGCAACACATATCTGAAAAAGAATGACAAAGTTACGGCCTTCGGTTGTACTGCCTTGGGAGCCTAGATCTGAGCAAGAGCGCAGTGGAGAAGGTGAACAGTCAGCATGGATTTGCAAAGGGTAAATCCTGCCTGGCCAGTCTGATTGCTTTGTACGATACATTTACTGGATTTGTGCATGAGCAGAGAGGAGTGTAACTCACCTTGACTTTGGCAAGGCTTTCAACACTAATTCCCACAATATCCTTGTATCCAATTTGGGATATTGTGGTCTGGATGGGTGGACAGCCTGATAACAAGCAGAGTACTGGAGGGGGCTATCCTAGGACCTGTTCTGTTTAACATCTTTATCAATGGCCTGGAGGAGATGATAGAGTGCACTCAAGTCTGCAGATGACACTAAGTTAGGGGGTTCAGTGTCTATGCTCAGGGACAGAGCCACTATTCAGAGTGACCTACACAGGCTGGAGGAAGGAAATAACAGGAACCTTATGAAATTCAACAACGACAAATGGAAAATCCTGCACCAGGGAAGGAAAAACCCTTTGTAATGATACAGGTTGAGGACTGACTGGCTGTGCAGCAGCTTTGCTGAAAAGGACCTCGGGGTCTTGGTAGACAGCAAGCTGAACAGGAGCCAGCAGTGTGTCTGGACAGAAGAGAAGACTATATTAGCAGAGGCATAGCTAATAAATCAAGGGAAGTGATTATCCTGCTCTACTCAGCCGTTGTTAGACCACATCTAGAATACTGTGTCCAGTTTTGGGCCTCTTAGTAAAAGAAAGACATACCTAAACTAGAGTGAGGTCAATGGATGGACATCAGAATTGTCAGGAGTTTGGTGAACCTGTCCCAGGAATACAGAGGGAGAAGGTGAACAAACCAGGCTTGCTTAGCCTGGAGAAGAGAATGCTGTGACAGAACCTGACAGCAGTTCCCCCAGGATCTGTGAGGAAGTGTTTGGTGGGAAACTGAGAGACAATAGACATAAGTTAAAAAAATTGAGGTTCAGACTGGATATAAGGAAAATCTTTTTCACCAGGAGGACAGTCAAACACTGGAACAGGTTATTCAGAGAGGTTATGCATCCTTATTCTTGGAAGGCTGAAGAAAACTTTGAGTAACCTGGTCTGATGTCACAGTTGGCTCTGCCTTGAGCAGCATTTTGGACTAGTGACCTCCAGAGGTCCCTTCCAATCTGAATTAGTCTGATTCTAGGTATTGCGTGTCCCCAGATCTGAGCAAGGACTGACACACTCACTATCATTGCCTCTATCAGTATTTCTAATGAGATGTTGGCATCATCTGCTTTGAGGCTCCCGATTTCAAGGTCAGAACTAGGCATCAGGCCACCTGAAGGACACTGTGGAGAAGCTCCCAAAGTGAAATGCAGGCCAAAATTCAGCATCATTTGAACAACCAAATGGCAGCCTTGCCACCAAGTTTTTGCAGGAACACAGTGACCCAAGGGCTCACTGCTAGCATGATGTCCTGAAACATGAGGTAGGAAGAGAATCAGTAGTTCATAAGGGACCTGGCTGAAGGCAAGCCCTCCCTTGGGCAATATGAAGCCATATGGTGGGAAGACCAGCCTGTAGCTCTCAGCAGAGGCCTGGTACAAAGCAGGAGGCACCAGCACTATGCTGGCCAGGCTGCTAGAGGACAGGCAGAGAAACCCCCTTCTATTCTCTTATTCAAGTCCCAGGGGAAACTGGACTTTTAATCTGGGTTCTGACTCTGACCTTGACTGTCAGTTACTTGGTTTATCCTTCATCCACTTGCCCTAGTTGGTTGGGTCTTTTTTGTTTTCAAGATGTAAAACAGGTATGTCTGTGCAGTTGAAGCTGTGTGACACTTTCCCTGTACCCTGGGCCCCTCAGTCACAGGGCTGTGCCAGATGAGCACAGTAGATAAATGGGTCCAGAAAGCAGGGTGCAGGCAGGATGAACAGCATCAAAAGGGCATCTGGGGAAAAGGAGGGGAAACTTCAGATACCCAAACCTTTGCCTGTAGTGCAAAAAAAAAAAAAAGCCTGCAGAGATCCCATGACTTCTGGAAGTAGTCTTCAGGCTTTCACTATCAGCCAGGTTAAATTGTTGGGGGACAGGGCAGGATTCCTGAGAGAATGAGATGTCATATCACAGGCACTCTCATACTAGAGCTTATGCTATATGGCTCCAGGAAACTTTCCAGGCTCCTCTTTGTTCTGGGGGTTAGACATTACTGGCAGTGCTGCTGGGTCATTTTAAAAGCAATCTTGTCTTGCTGTGTCAATGTCAAACAGAATAGGTCCTCCAAATCCTTGTACAGCTCCAGTGATTTGGACCCATGAGCACAAAGTCCATCTTTAAACATCAGCTCTTTAAACACATGAGCTTAACAGCTGACTGAAACCCTGATGTGGGACACTACTGTGCAGGAAGATCTGTATCACCCAGCCCCATGATGAAAAAGTTTATTCTAAAATAACACAGACTATGTCCTCTGAGGAGAAATTGGCTGTTTGTCTGTGTCCTTTAGGAGATGCCAATGTTCTGGAATATGCAGTATCCTATGTTAAGCTAGGAGACCTTCCTGCAGTCTCTACAAATGGTTCTCTGAGTGACAAGACCCTGCAGGATCCTGGAGTTGTATCTCTTCAAATTCATGTAGTTACGTAAGTCCCCTGCTCCAGGCCCAATATGAGACTGTATATCCCATTATTCTAGCAGAGGTGGTTGTGGCAACCTCAGTTAGTGCCAGACCAACACTGGACTGGCGGTGCCATACCATCTGTTCCACAATGGTAGATGCTGTGAGTGGCCTGGCCACAGGGATGGCAGCCCAGAAAGCAGTTTGGAGCTCCAAGTTATACACTACCTCTTCACACAGGTTATGTCTATAACAGCAAATTAAATAGTGCCCTGGCCTGGCCTGAGGTGTGAGAACTCAGTTGTCTACACTAGTTAGCCTTCCCCAGTATGGGTGTGCCCATGTCAGCTTGCATGTCCCCAGGCAATGCACAAGCACAATTTAGGAGTGAACCCAGGGGAGACAACCACCACTACCAGTGGGCACTCTGGACACTTTTTTGAGGTCCCAGTCATTGCACACTGGCACTAAACAGATCTTCCTGTTTCAGTTTGTGCATGCAAAAAATTAAATAACAAAAATATAAGATTGAGGTATTCTTCAATAATTTTCATGCTATTTATTTTGCGGTATTTCTGCACTGGCTATCCTATCAATGATAAAATGTGCAAAAATTATTTCAGATAAATTGTTTTCTTTCTACAGTTCACCAAAAGCATAGTTTCAAATGCAGCATTCGTGAAATACCCACAGAACTCACATACGCACTATGCCTTCTATGCCCTGCTGCTAATGGTCAGGCTGTGTCACACAACTTCTGAAAAAGTTAGAGGTTTTATCAGTTTCAAGAAGATAGAATACATGCCAAACAGAATGCAGACATCAAATTCTGTTCTCCAGAAACTTCCTCAGCCTACATAAATTGTTAATAATATACAGCAGAATACTGATGTCCTGTAAATATGCACACAGTTTCCTCCCATCAGATTACAAAGACATGGTAGAGCTGCATAATATGTGTTGTGTCATCATACAAACTCCTCTCTGGTTCCTACTCCTTCACTTGTTACAAAGCTTACTTCATGTGTTGATCTTACATACACAAGCAATCACTGCAGAGACCACAGACAAGTTCTGTTATGGGATACAGAATTCCAGACAGAAAATACCAAATTGGCAAGAAGTTCCCAGTTACATGCACAGCACAGGGTAGGAGCAGAGCTGGCAATTACCACTCTGTACCTCAGGAATAAAAACACAGAAAGTTTCCAGGTAGGCTGCAAGATTGCACAAGGGTCAGTAACACAACAGGAGAGGCTCAAGACAAACACTTTTTGAAATATATCAGATTTTGGAAAGCCTGTTTAAATTCTTCATTAAAAGCTGTATAAATGACTGGATTGATCAATGAGTTTAAGTAACCTAACCATGTAAAAAAGTCCAGTAGGATGGGATGAAACCAACAAGCATCTTGGCAGATTGGTAGGACTAGGGACATGACAAAAAAAGGCAGCCAGCAGAAAATGAAAGCTCCCAGAATAATGCCTAAAGTTTTGGTGGCTTTCCTTTCTCTTGCAGCAGAAATTCTTTTCCTTTCCAGGACACTATCTGCAAGTTTTATTTTAACATGATTGATAAATACTGGGGATCCACCTGAATGGGAATGCCCTTCATGAAGGCTAGCATTAATGGAGCAGAGGGAAGACCCAGCAGAGCCAGTAATCAGATGTGCAGTAGTAAAACGTTTCCCATATAATGAGGATGGCTTCAGAATCCTCGATCGAGCTGCTACATAAATTCTACCATACAATATCAGGAGGAGCACAGTTGGGATGTAGAAAGCTCCACAAGTGGAATAAATAGTGTAGGAAATTTGATCTGTGTTCACAGTACACTTTGCAATTTCTTCATGAGCTTTCACTTGCCTCCAGAAAAATGGTGGCACAGAAATACTAACAGATATCATCCAGACCACAGCAATCATGAGTACTGCTCGGCCAGCAGTCCGGCGTTTGGCATATTCCAAAGCATCTGTGATAGCCCAGTATCTGTCCAGTGCAATAACACAGAGGTGTAGGATTGATGCTGTGCAGCACGTGATGTCTGATGATAACCAGATATCACACAGCACTTGGCCAAAGGCCCATGTGTGGGTGACAGTGTAAGCAATACTGATGGGCATTACTAGGACAGACACTAAAAGATCAGTCACTGCCAAGGAGCCAATGAGATAATTTGCAGGTGTGTGGAGCTTTCTAGTCAGAAAAATTGTAATAACAACAAAAACATTTGCAAGGATCGTTGCCAAAGTTATAACAGACAGAAGGACTGACAGTGAAATCTTCAGCCCTAATAGTGTCCTTTCATCCAAAGTCAGTGGTGTTTCAGTGAAATTTAATGACTTATTTGCTGAGCTCTGGAGAGAGAGCTCTGCTGAACGGTTATACTGAGTCATCCTCTGCTCTGATTTCACTTTTCACTTTCCAGCGTAATCTTTCTGGGATGATGAAGAAAGATACTTTTCTGCTGAAATAGAACTTTTCATACTAGAGTCCAACACTGAAGAAATATTAACTTGTTGAAAACTTCAGCTTACGCAGTAAATGAGGTATTCTTCTAAACTAGATTTTCCATCACATCACATCAATGACTTCACTGTTAAAGCAAAATGTTAACATAATCATCTAGACATGACTCTGGTGTATGGCAATACAAGTGGTACTGTAAGTGGTGGGAATTTAGGTGTTTTACATTTTCATTTTGCAGACGACTAAATCATTCATTATTCTCTTTTTTTCACACCTCTTTTCTGAACTAATCTTCTGCAAAGCTGCATGAATCAATACTGAAGAGTGAGAGGCCTAAAAAGAAACATCTGGGCATGTAATTGATGCCCCTGACAAAGGTCTCCTCAAGAGTATTTTCCTTTCCTCTCTAATAGCTGAATGTCATGTTTTTCATATTTATAAGGGACACTTTATTAGTATGGTACCCAAGATATAAAACAATACTGTCTGGATTCCTTCTGTAAACATAATTTCTGCCAGATTTGTAAATCAAGACCTCTTTTTGAAAAGTGCAGAGATCTGTTTTCATTTATTCCTCCAGACCATTCAGGTTTTCTCTTCGACATTCAGTCTTCAAATGCTGGAAGTCAGGTGTTGGGTACCAGAATTCAATGCATTGGTGCTGAAGCTCACAGCATGTTCCAAGTACTGAGATGCTCCTGATCACACACATGGTGAATGATTGTCATGGCTTGCAGAGTGGTGATTTTCTCAAAAGAGGGAATATAGACTAGTCAAGGTGATCTGGGAAAAAACAAACAAACAAAACAAACAAAAAAACAAAACAAAACAAAACAAACAAACAAACAAACAAACAAAACACAAATGTTTTAGTCCAGAATGGTGATACAAGAGTTGTGGAGATTGAGGTATCAGAGTATACAATCTACAGGCTTTCTATACTTCTCTCTAGATTCACTTAGTGTAACCTGAAATCTTTATAAACCTGAATAAAACATCCTAAGAGAGATTTCCTTGAGACTTTTCACTCAGATCTACCCACGAGTACCAGAATGTCACTTACATCATTTCAGCCCAAGCTTTCTTGAAAGAAATCCTGAATATGGGTCATGAACGGCTTTGAAGCATTCTGAGGGCTACAAAGAGAGACGCCAACCTTCTCCAAGAACATAATCACCAGGCCAGCCTCCTCCCAACCATCAAGGAGAAATGCCTCTGTCAGACATAACTGGTACAGTTTCATGCCAGAACTGAGAGTCATTTGGTTAGGAATCTGTGGAGCAAGACCATCATATATTCTAGATGAAACACTAACACTTTCATGTCAAACAGCCTCTCTTGATCTCCTGAATCCTAACATAAGAAAGAACACTTTTTGGTTTTGTGTGTTTGATTTTTTTATAAACATCCACCTTATGTGAGTCAAACTCATTTTTAGAGATGCTTTTTCTTTTGCAGTGTATTTTTCCAGTAAGGGGACCTAGGAGAGTCTCATATTTCATACCAGACTATTACTTTCTTGATTTTATTTTTCCAGAAAGGCTAACCTCTCTTCCTAATGACTATTCTTGTGACACTGAGCAAAGGTTCAACTTACAAGAATTTTTGAACATAAGAACGGCCATGGCGACCAAAGGCCATCAAATCCCATCACCCATTTCTGATAATGACTCGTGTTCATCTCAACCCTGTTGCCTTTTTCTGATGCTTTCCCAACTCTGATACATTCTTTCTGAGACAGAGGGACCAGAACCACAAACAGTATTGAAGATATGGATACACCATTGATTTATACTGCAGCATAATGGTATTTCCTGTTCTCTTCTGAATTTCTTTCTTAATAATTCCTGAAATTTACTTTGCTTTTTAAATCATTACATAGCCCTGATCTGACATTGCCACAGCACAGTCCCAATTAATATAATTCTAAAGCCATAAGTGGTAACATCAGCATGTTTTCCCTTTTTACTCACTTTTTGCATCTATCCATACTGTATTCCTTCTCTCACTTTTAAACTAAGGTTCTTTGCAACTCTGCACAGTCAGTCTTTGTCTTTATTACCCTGAAGAGCTTTGTTTCATTAGCAGATGTCATCACTCCACTATTCATGTACCTTTCATATCACTTAATATGTTGGGTAGTATGAGCCTTCTTTATTTAACTTCAGGAGTCTCTGACAAAGGGCCATGTCAAAAGTCTGTTGAGAGTTCTAGTAATTTTATCAATTGGACTTCACCCAATCCATATACTAATCAGATTTTCTTAATTAATTCAACAGATTTGTGAGACATATCTTTACAAAAGATATCTTTACAAAACATTTTGACTGTTCCCCAAAATACCATATTTACTACATGTACAGTGATAATATTTATTATAATTTCTGCAAACTGGCTAGGTACAGACATCAGGCTTATGGATAAGCAGTTGCCCAGATCTCTTTGGAAAATGGTATCACAGCAGCCATTGGCAAGTGCAACAGGACTTTTAAGTAGAGGCTGAACACCCCTGCTGCCTCCACTGCACTTTGGATCTTGAGTTGCATCAAACTCTTTAGCTGAACACTGTCTGATACTGAATATTTGTTGTCAACTTTGGCCGGAAACAAAGGTTCCACTTCTAAACATACTCCAAATTCTAGTTAGTGAACAGGGATGCTAAAGTTAATCTAGTTTCTCTGTGAGAAATTTCCTTTATCTTCTCTGGGTGTTTTTTTTTCCCATATCTTTACCATCCCTTTAACTCCGACTCAGTAATAGCTCACATCAGAGCTGTCATTTTTAGAGTCTAAGAAATCTCTTTACCTGAACACTGGGCTGATCACACATCCCACACAGGAGAAAATCTAAACTGAAAACACCAGGCAGACTGATTAGCAATATTAAAGACCATGACTGTGTTACTTACAAACTAAAGCCAAGACCAGTCTTGATTTCAGTTACTGATAAAAAACATATAGAGCTTTTCCCATATATTGCAAGTATGTTCAGTGTTAGAACAATTCCACCGATATGAAATAAAATGAAGTGTAGATCACCCACCCACCTGTATATGAACAAGCCTATTAGTAGTCTATTGCTTCCAACAGGTGTCAAACACTGGGAAAAAAAAGTCGGATGTGAAACATGGTATTTGCAGTCAAATGAACTAGTCTAGAGTTCAAATGAATTATTAATCTTGAACATACCAGTAAACAGGACAGCCTGACACTGGGAGAAAGTCTTACTGAAACCAAACAGTGCCTCAACAGATACTGAGTTACTGAATTAATTCTTATGAATAAATTATGTTTGCCTCTGATGTGATCACCAAAGGAAATGAACCAATTTTTTACAGAAATGCTCCAAGTCAGGTATTTATCATGTGCTCAGAAAGAATGTATTGGCTGTTTCCTGCCCCACAAATAAGGTTATCATGACTGAAAGTCATTTTCAGAAGTAACTCCAGGTCAGGTTTCTAAACCCCATGACAGATACATCTTGTAAGATTTCTACCAGACTCCTCAAAACCTTAAGTAGCATATATTCTTAAATTTAATAAAATCCTGCACTTGTACATACAGACAAAGTTTTCTGATTTTGAGTCTTTCACCAAGAAATACATATAGCACATTAAGCAGCTGTTATCCATTCTGATTGGCAGGGCAGCATCTATCAGGGATGTATCAATAATCATGTAAGGCAGCTAGTCAATATTATTCACTGGTTTCAGATTAAAACAAATTATGAGAGTGTGTGGTCCTGACAGAATTTTTGTTCCCTACTTAGAGCTTTATCCTGGGTGTTCACTGTGCTGACATTAAAGTATATTCCCCATGCGCTAAATTATCACCAGGGGCTATATACTTATGCAGAATAAATAGTCAAAATAATCTTTCCTTTACAATCAATCAGGTATCACTACGCAGTATAAAATATGGAACTGTAAAATATGCATGCAAAATTTAAAAAATCCAGACACAATGTAGTAGCTAAACAGAACTGTGATCCACTTCAGCTGGTTAGAAGCTCTTCGGCTCCATGAGCAAAACTGGCAGGCAGTGCTCTCCTTCAGGATGTGCAAAAGGTCAGATAAAACGGTCATAAAAGTTTCTGAAAATCTATAGCTCCTCTACTGCAATGATTTATGCATCTGCTTAATGATATAACTTAGTATACTATAAATAACCATTAAATTCAATGGGCTACTGAAAACACAAAGTTACATGCTTACATATGTATTTAGGAATCAGGGACTCTGAATCTACTATTAAGTTTATTTGAATGTACTTCCCTGTGATGCCTGTTTGAGACACTCTGTTACTTAATTTGTGTGAGGTTTATATCACTACCATTGATTAAAAAAAAAAAAATAGTAATGGGACTCCTGTTAAAATTAGTATATAAGAATGTAATGAATTTTACTTACCATGTAGCTAAAATGAATGCATTCCCAATAATTTTTCAATTAAGTTACCTTTTACTTAAGAAAAAATCCTGAGTAGAGGTAAACTATTTTCCTGTTGGAAAAAAAAAAAAAAGGAAGGAAACAGAAAAAAAATTGTTTGCTTAAACTACACACACTGAAGAAAAATAATGTTAAATCTCAAGCAGTCACTAAATTAAGTCAAGTACAAGCTCATATGTATAGTTACGTATTAAGGAAAACAGAACACAAATGCATAGGCATACACATCCTGAAACACTGGGAGCCCAGCATGTTCAGCTGAGAGCGATCTTCCAGTGGGACGCTGCCTTGGCAGGGTTTACATGATCTCCGGAACATGACGAGTACTGAGTAGAACCTGCTGATGTTATCATCTCTAGGTAGTATTATTGTCTTCAGTCTGTGCAATTTGCAGTCTGGGTAATTGCAGGCCATTAGCTGTGGTGCCTGAAGTTATGTTTACAGTGCTGAAGGCATCAGCCCCGTGATTCCTCCGAAGCCCCACCAGGCAGGACATGGCAGGTTCTTCACCCACACTTCTCAAAATGGAAATCCTCTCAGGTGAGCTGACTGCATCAGCACTGTCCTTGGCCTGTCTCTTCTTGGGCTTCACCTGGTGTCCTTGGCCATGGGCTGTGGGTATTTTTTCAGTTCAAGGTGCCTGAAATAAATTGAAGGTGATGTCACGGCCTACCAGAGTGAGGTTTTCACAGCACAGCACGTGTGATGTACAGCTCATAGCCTGGGGCAAATGGCAGGGTTGTGTTGGATGCTTGCAGGCAAGGCTTCCTACAGGAGCAGCTGGGAACAGCGCAGAGCAAAGGAGGCCAAACCTGTCCTTGGTTTATCCACACGACTGTCCCGAGTGGTGTGCAGGTTTGGCAGCTGAGGGAGGATGGGGCATGTGAGGATGCAGTGAGGATGGTGAGAAAGCGAGGCACAGAGTGACCCTGGAGTGAAGATATTTTACAGTGACAATCCAACCACAGCAAGCCGCAGTCACCAGAGCCTCTTCTGTAGCCACTGGGGAGAGAACAGCACCTCCCATCTCCAGGGACCACCAGAGACCAGGACTGCCCTCTGCAACTGCCTCTCCCCTTCTCCCGAGGTGTGATCTGGGCTGACCACGCCAGTTCCCCTGTCCACATCTTCAGTGGTTCCTGGGAAAGTCCAGGAGGTGAGGAGATGCATAATAATGTCTTGGTATCCTGGAGAGATTGGAGAAATTCTTTTTCATTCATCAAAAAGAAGGAAAAATAACTTAATCACAGGAAAGAGTATTTCAACGGAGAGACAATTTTAGACAGCACAGTGCTATTTAACTTAGCAGAAAGCTCAGTTGAGGGTCTGGAAGATGAAGCGAGTCACATATTCAATGTGAAAAACGCTTTTGCTGTTGGTAATAACCACTGGGACTGCTTCACAGTTCTGGGTCCTTACTTAAAACCAGGTACTTCTTTTGACAAGCTGCTTTGCGTTCCAGCTCTGCAAACAAGCTAAGACAGCAAGGGCAAGGCGGCAGGTGGTGGCAGCCTGGTTAAGTTGGAGGAGAAACCACGCACCAAACTGTGAGAGTCAGATAAACCAGCAGGCAGGAGGCTGCATGGCACTGCCAGCTCGGTGCGAGGGATGGCTATCCTGCAACCGCTGCAGCCCTGCATGGAGAGAGACCGCCCAGGATCGCCAAAGACACTCAGTCCACAGTGTAAACAAAGTCACGAAACATTTCTGTCCCTTCTGGAGCACAGCTACCATTTCTGGAGAACAGGGCGATTCTTGCAGACAGCAATTTTATGCTGCAGCTGACAACACTTTCTGACAATGCTCAGCTGCAAAGAGAATGCTTTGGTGCACCCTGCAGATCTATGTTGGAGTGAGGTAAATAGTGTATGCAAAAATAAGTGTGTTGAAATGAAAATACAGAATTTACTCTTTCACTGAATAGAACAGGAAAAAAGAAGAACAAGATGAAATGTCTTTTAATAAGCTGAATGTTTCCTTTAAATTCACACTGAAGTTAAGGGAATTAGGGAAATCATTCGCTCCCCTTGTAGCTGTGTCACAATCAGGTGAATTGCAAAGGGATGGCTGAGAACAGAGCTAAATTTCAGCAAACTACTGAAAATCCATTTGCTCTCCCAGCTTTTTGTAACTAATTCAAATTTTTAATTTAAATGTAGAATCTGCTATCTTGCCTAAATAAAACAGGTATCATTCTGAAACAGTGACCAGCAATAAAGCTACTCCGTATGAGCTGACAAACAGCAGATGGCACTCCTAACAGGAATCACACCTTTGAAAGATACATTGCATAGAACTCAGAGAGGGAGATTTCTTAGTAAGTTCTTGCATATTTGGGACAATTGACGCAAGCATGCAGCATAAGAGTAACTGTAGAGTCCAACTTGGAGACAAGAACCCTGTTCAAACATCATGAAATAGATTTAGAATAAACTAGGAGAATTTGCCAGTCTGTAGATCATAATTAAATTAGGATGCAGCTTCTGGGAGGAAAACAAAGCAATGCGGTAGTGGCTTGCACTGAAAAAAATGAGATCCACAGAGAAGGTAGAGTCTGTGGAAAAGTAAAAAAATGGTAACATCTGTAAAATGTAATGTAAGCAGGTTTGTATACATCAGTATAAAGGACTGGATATGCTGCAAAAGTAACCATAGTCCTAACCAGTTTCCTAGCTTTGGATTAAGCTGCCTGAAATACATATTGTTTTGCAAAAGCTATAAATAAAATAGAATAAACCTGGCAGGAAATAAAATATATATGTACCTTGCACAATAAAGTAGGATTAGGCTGCACTATGTACTGAAAAGACTGCCATATTGCCATCACAAATAAAGAAGAAAAGTTATTGGAGGGATTAGTTTAAGAACTGTGAATGGGAGCTTGGTCACTTGCTGTCCGTTACGCACAAGCTAATTTGTCATTTGAATTTACAATTAGCAGCTTGAAAAGAGAGTAATCTAAAATAGAAGTGTCCTCATATGATGAGGAGATGATTTCAAAGTTGGCTGCATAAAATAAACTCAGAGCAAAACAAGGGGAATCTACAAAAATGTCCCTGTTGCCCTAAGACAAGCTGGCAGGTCCCTGGGAGAGAGGGATGAGCACAACTGCAATTGCTCATTTGTTTTCTGTGCAAGCAAGAATTCTCAGCTATAAGGACGTCACATTTTTAGGGAGAAGCCGTGAGCACCTAAAGGAAGCAGCAACCCTCGAGGCCCCAGGAAAGCCACGCAGCACTTAAGGCAAGGTCTTTCTTTGCTCCTCTATTCTCACCCACTGGTGTGCATGGCAGTGACGCTTCCCACATCTCTGTCTCAGCTCCGCCACTGTCTAATGCTCCAGCCAAGGAGGACTGAACAAGTCTCAGCTTTGCAGAGCACAAGACCAATTTGCTGGCAGGAAGCACAGGCACTGCTCAGTCTCAGCCTCCACTCCCTCTCCCACAGCCTCTAACCAGGGCTGTGTGCTCAGGGCTGACAGCACAGGGTCCTGCCCCAGCGCAGGCTCATTTGGCTGCTGCTCAGGGAGTGCCTCTCGCAGCACAGCGTGAAGGGTAAATTCCTCCTACCTGGGGCCAGGCAGGTAGTGCACACACCTGTAGGCACCAGCCAATGTAGACACACACATACCCAGCCTCACTCACACCTCCGTGCATCCGTAGTAGTTTTCACTTACTGACTCCACCCTGACATTTTACACAGGATCCTGATTCCACCTGTGTCAGGAGAATAAATGAAGAAAAATTCTTCAGGCTCTGAGCTGAAGCAATAAGAGCATGAGTTTGCACCTGAATTTCTCATGTGTTTAGAGTAGCAAGGCCACTGTGTTACTAGCTAGACTGGTTATTCTGATTATTCAAGATGCTTATGAGATCTCAGGTGTACTTCACATCAACACCAAACAACTTTTTAATACTGGAACATATTTCAAGGAACAGAGCTCTAATACTCCAGTCATAGCTAGTTTGCCCCCTCCTGACCTTTCTTGCCTCTGAGATGTCTTCACTGGTATTTCTGAATTCAGTGTGCTGTTACACTTAATGAGTTGTCCAATCAATATGGGGAAATTACAAACCTCAAATAACATAAGTATAGATTAACTGCTGATCAATAACACTGTATTGTGTTAGTCATAATACAACAAGCTGTACATTTTCTAAGCTTTTTATTAGAAAAAATTATTTTATTTGCTTTATTATATTAGGTCTATGCTGAGGTATGAGCTGTGTTTGTTATGGATATAACATTTTCCACTGGTTATAAAATCAGTAATACGAGCACTGTTTTCAACATTCCTCTCCTTTCCCCTACTTCAGTGATATATCACAAAATAAAAAAGTTAAGGTAGGATTCATCACAGTCCACTCAGATACCTTAACCTCAGTCAGAGCTGGTCAGCCCAGACAGGCAGCTGAGCCCCTCAGGGCTGAGCATCTTTCTTCATTGACAGTAAGGGGAGCTGGTAGAAAAGAGTTCATGTTTCTAGAGAAGCATGTGTGACATTGCATATATTCGCTCCATCATGGTTCACACAGCACAACTAAATCGCTAATCCTAGGATTATTGTGACTATTTCAAAATAGGTATGCCTATTTTGTTTCTTTGATATAAAGAACAGTACTCTATATGATAAATTGTATACAAAACATTTCCCATTTTAAATAAGCAACTATGATAACTGACAAGCAAATATTGGCAATGTTTAACACCTTCTCTCCACCTGCTGGTTTTGCTCAGCTTTCAAAGAAGGATTGGTATTTTTTCTCTCTTGCCTTTATACACAGCCAACATGTATTAGCTATCCAACTCATTGCTAACTACAAAGTTACAACTTCTGTGACACCTTAAAACAAAATATTACTTATCAAAGGTTGGGATTTAGTGGGCAGTGATACCACACTGCAGAAATATACTCTACAGTGTGCTAGCAATAATTTCTCTGGAGGAAGCAGGGGCTAGTGCACTTAGCTCTGGCACTGACTAGACTGCCTCAGCCATAAAGTCTCTGATGACAAACATGCACAATGCAAAATCTCCA